TAAAATAAAATAAAATGATTGCATGAAAATATTACTTATCTGGGCGCCAGAGTTTTTTGGCGCCACTTAAAATTGGCGCTTAAAGTTCGTGCGTCCCTCTTCTCATCCTGCTCCCTGCCCTGCTCGAGACCACCCGTGTCGGGCAGGACTCCCCAGGCTCTCACGGCCGGCTCTCCGCAGTAGAGGGCCCGGGACAGCCAGGTTTCATAACCTGACCACCGATGTTCCAATCATGCATTTCATTCTGCTTCCTCTTCTATGTTTTCTTAATTGCTCTACCCACCAGCCTATCGACATCACCTTTTAAGGGTGTTTGTGGTTGCAAATTATCTTGTATGATACTGCAATGGTGGATATACGTCCTTATACCTTTGTTCGAAACCTATAGATTGTACAACACCAAGAGTGAACCCTAACGTCAACTATGAACTTGGGGTTGTGATGCCGGGCCCGTGCTGGATGTGGGGTGCTGGTAGCCGGGCAGACTGTGCATGTGGGGAGGTGGAATGAGGGTGTGTGGGGAATCTTTGTACCTTCCCCTCAATTTTGCTGTGAGCCTAAAACTGCTCTCAAAATAAAATCTGTCTACAAAAAGCACTGACCATGTCACCCACAGAGTAGGATCTGACACCCCTCCAGCCACCAAGAAACAGGGATCTCTCTGGATGGGGTGAGAAAATGCCAGTGGCCCTGGGGTCCCTGCCTCCCGAGGGTGGGGCCACTGCCTTCTCTCACCTTTGTTCTTCGACAAGCTCACAGCCAGAATCTCCCATGTGGTGATGGAATCTTTCAAAAACACATTCATGGTCTTCGTGGAGATTCTGGATGGGGGAGATGTGGGAGCATTAGAAGACCTGTGTCCGGGTTGTGGGGGAGCACCAGGGTGGAGGGGCCCCAAGGGAAGGGTTGGAGGGGGGCGGCGGCTGGGCAAAATTGTGAGTAGCCTGAGTCCCAATTTTTCTAGGCTGGGTTGTGGGGTTGCACAGTGACTCAAGAAAAGAGGGGGGTTGGGGTGCATGCAAATTAAGTGGTCCAGTCTGGGGTGCTATAGGAGCTGGTCTGGGAGGTGGGTTGAAGTGGGGGTTTATCTTAGTCTTACCCATTTTTCTCGGGTTCATTGAGATTCTCTATGGTCCACAGCCAGCTCTCAGGGAACTGGCTTCGGGAAACGATGTCCTCTTCTGGCACTATCTCCTCGTCCAAGTCACCTGGGAGGTAGGGGTGGGGAGGGGAGCAATCTGGATTTGGGACAGACCTATTTCCCCACTGTCCCTGGAGATATTTATCTCTGTATCTCTGGAGGGGTTCCTAGCAGCGAAACACACCCATGGCCATGCGATGACTTTGTGGGGTGGGGCGGGGGGTGGGGGGCAGGCATGTTTGCCTTTGTGACTCCTTCCTTCATAAACACACTATTAAAAATTGTATTTTACAACTGTGTTGGTATAAAGGCAAAAACAATCCAGGCTGGTTAAATTATTTACCCCTCCCCCAATTTTCATAGAATTGAAAGCATTCGCTCGAGCCTCTCTCTAAGCCTGAGGGTTCCTAGGCTCCTTGCCTGCCGCATCTGATGGTGATGGTCCTGAAGCAAACAGGGGGCTCGACAGATTCCCCAGACCTGATGGTGACCCCTGGAGAGGGGGTGGCCTTTTCAAGCCTGGCTGACACCATCAGCAAGTAGATGAAGCGGGGCCAGAATAGGGCTCACTCAACCCTGTCTGGGCTTTCTTCAAAACATGATGGGCAGATTGTAACTTGGCTCTGGGTCTGCCAAATAACAAAGTAGGTGAAGTCCACTGATGCCTAAATCCACTCACATTCTGAAATAACCCATCAAAGTGCCTTTCGGGTATGAACATGTAAGCAACTCTCTGTCTCACCCCCAACTGGCTAAAAAAAAGTACACAATGCTAGGGGATGAAAACACCCAAGCGTGTGTAAGCCCTATGCTGGTAGATCAGATATTTTTGTCTAATTTTCCTCTTTGAGAAAGGAAGTCTGTAGTTCGCTGGAGTAGTATGCAGCAAGCCTAGGTTAGTATATTTTGCACAGGTTGAAGGGCAAATCCTTTGTTCATGTGCGTTGGAAATCTTTGGTCTTTTTTAGGGGTGGTGGTGAAGGGAGTGCTAGCCTTCCAGCTAAAAGAATTTAGAAATATCTGTCCACTTTGGCATGTCTGCCTTTAAGAGGTGACTGCCTCTTAAGAGCCAAAACAATAAAGAACAACAACAACAAAAACAATAAAAATATAAGTGTGCACAAAAAAATATGTGTTACCATATAAGGAGTCCCCTACCTGCTGTCATATAGGCTAAGTAAAAATTGATCTGGGGGAAAATTTCCCTTGGCTTGAATTTTGCTGTGATCTGATAGCAAAAAGAAGTTTCCCAAAAGCAACTATAAGGGAACAAAGAGGAACTTTACAATGAAGCAACCCAGAAGACACACCGCCTAACGAAGCGATCAAGGGTCACATCACCAACAGTGGGATGATTCAAGGTCATAAGGCCCCTGATAGGATGCACTAAGAAGGCCACAATGTCTCTTTTGTGACAGTGCTGCCCAAAATGCAAAAGCTGAATGTGATTATGAGGAAACACCGAGCCAACCCAAACAGCGGGACAGCCCCCCAAAGAGCTGGACATGAGTGTCGCTGCAAGATGGATGCTCTGCAGGGGTTGGGCAGATCCAAGGACACTAAGAAGACCCCACCAGCAAATACGACGTCCAATTCTGGACCGGATCCTTTTCCTATAAAGGACCTAAACCCAAACCAAACCAGACCAAACCAAACCAAACCAGACCAAACCAAAACGAAACCACTGGCGCAACTTGAATGGGGCTGGAGGGTTTGGTGGTGACAACGAGTCAACATTAATGTCCTAATTCTGGTGACTGTGCTGGGTTTTCTGGGAGAATATCTCTGCTTCTAGGAAATCCACACTGAGCTAGTTGGGAGTGGTGGGTCCTCACACAGTTCAGAGGGGAAAAAAAGGTTTTTATGCCCATTTCCACTTCTTTTGTTGGAGACTCTTTAAAGAAAAAAAAAAAAGAGGATTATTTTTGCTTTGATCAGGCAGCCTGCTGCTGTGAAATTTCCCCTTTTTCCTCAGTTTTTAAGCAAAGGTATTATCTTTCGTGACTTTTCATCCTGTAGTTAATAAGGTAATTTCCCTCGATTTCAAGAGCCGCTCACATGGGCCTTTGTTCTTGGAGGCCAATTTGAAGGACACAATTTCTGGTCCCCCATGAAACAGTGGGATGTGCAAAAGAAGTGCTCAAAGGGCCAATTAGAACGATCACCAGAGCAGCAAAGGCTCTGCATAAAATGGTTAAAAAGAGCAATCTGGAAAGGGTGGGATGAGCTGGGAATTTGCCAAGGTGACCCTCACAAAAGGTCCCGCGCTGTTCACCGTGGGCTGTCCCTGGCTTCAGTTTCAACAACGCCCATCCTAGCAGAAAGATCTTTCCCTGATCAAGACACATTAAAAAGCATTTTTAAAAAGGAGGGATCAGGCCTCACTGGGCTCAAAGCCTCTCAGCAAATGGCAGTTAGGCAATGTCTGTCCTCTCAGCGCCACTTTGTGATGGAGACTGCTCTGATTGTGCTTTAAATGCTGTTATTATAAGAGAAATTTCTCTTGGCTTTGCTTAAGATTTATTTGGCCTGAGGTGTAAAGTTTCAAGTGGGTACACGTTTTCTCTTATCCAGAACTGAATGAATGAACGAATGAATGAAAATGAAGTGACAGAGGTTGTTAGGCATTGAGTTAGGCACCTCTTTGGAAAGCACCATAAATTAGTTTTCTTTGGTAAAGACAAGCTGAAAACCCATCTCAGACAGAGGCATCATCCCCTCTCAGACAGGCCCTCCTCCCTCTCAGACAGGCCCTCCTCCCTCAGACAGGCCCCCTTTCCCCTCAGACAGGCCCTTCCCCCTCAGACAGGCCCCCTCTTCCCTCAGACAGGCCCCCCTCCCTCACAGAGACCCCCTTCCGTCTCCAGCGTCCCCCCCGCCGCCGCCGCCCCGCAGCAGACTCACTCCTGGCCAGTCCCAGGGGGCCATCGTGGCTGTGCTGGAGCCGCAGCTGGGTGATGTAGTTGCAGCAGTCGAGGAAGGCCTTCACGCACCGCTCCTTCTCCTCGTGGACGATGAACTGGGCCCTGCGCTCGCAGGGGAACTTCATGGGGTTGTCCCGCATGCCATCCTTGCAGCACTTGCGCACGTCCAGCGGGTACTGGCCCTCTGTGGGGGCACAGACCCCACGTCATGCCCTCAGCCCGGGGCCTTGAAGCAGGAGGAACTCGGGACAGCCCCGCGGGGAGGCCGACCCCAAGGCCAGGCCCTGCCCGCCTCCCTCCTTGGCTGGGGCCCCGTGTGGGCAGGGATCAGGGGGCGGGCAGGGCTCCCACCTTTGTCTAGTCTCTTCTCCATGAGCCGGACGGAGCGGCGGCGCCGGGCGGCTGGTTTGGGGCACTCAAGAGCTGAGGGGCAGGCGGACAGCAAACGGGATGGATTAAGCACCGACCATGAGTCCTCGATGTACTCCTCTCAGTAGCCAAGAGGGAGGGGAGTTGTTGCTCCCATTTGACAGAGGAGGAAACTGAGGCTCAGAAAGCAGTGGCTCGCTAGGTGGTGGCGGAGGCAGGACCTGAACCCGGGGCCGCCTGACCCCAGAACCCTGCCCTCCACCCTGCCCTCCCCGGCGCTCACTTGTCCTCTGGGCCGTCTGCAGGTTTTTGTTGGTCTTGAGGGCCAGCCCCGCGTCCGTGAAGACCCCGGCATAGTCCTTCCCGCTGCCCGCCGTGCAGCCGATGTCTGCCTTCTCCACCACGTTCCAGATCTGCGGGGCCCAAAGGGGTCACGGCCGCGGCCTCCACCCCCTGGCCAACGCGCCCACCCGCCCCTCCGTTCTCGTCCCCAGACCTGTCTCAGAGCTGCGACCCGGCCGTGGCCACGACCACCCCCAGCGTGGGCTTGTCCATCCGCACTCCCTTCTGCAGCCTTAACGTCCAGCCCACCTGTGTCCGCTCCGACCTCCTTCCAGCCCACGCCTGACCCCCCTTCCGGTGCCCTCCGCAGCGCCACCGCCACCTCAGCCCAACGCCACCCCTTTGCCTCTGCTGCCTTCCACCCGACCGTAGCGGCCGGGGGCGCACCTTGCTCTGAGTCAACTTGTTCTTCTTGTTCAGCACGAACACACCCTTGTCTACCGCCACGAGCCCCACTCGGGCCCCCGGGTCACCCTCGATCTTGAGGATCATCTGCTGTCCAGGCAGGTGTGGCCTCTCGTCCTTCCTGCCACCTTTCACCACCAGCTGTGGGGGGGGGGTGGACGGGGGGGACAGGAGTGAGGGGTCAGCGCTGCCCAGGCTGGGTCTCGGTCAGCCGAGGGCAGCTGTGGTGCAGCGGGAGCGAAGGCAGGAAGGCCAGGAGAGAGAGAACGTGGGAGCAAGAGAGGCCCCGCCCCGAGGCTGAAACAGAGCGGTGCACGGGGAGCAAGGGGGGGGTGTAGGTGTGGGGTGGGGGAGAGAAGGGGCTGGGAAAGGAGAAGACAGAGGCAGAGACGCTATGACCACCGTGGAGAGCCCACCCGGAAGGCTGGAGAGAGGCAGAGACTGAGAAAGCACTGGCCAAGTGGGGAGTCCCAGGCTGGGTGCAGAGGAAGGCTTGGGAAGCTTACCGTGCCCATACAGGAGTCCTTGACATCCACCCACACGGAATCGGCCACCACCTCCCTCTGGCCCTTGTTGTCAAGGAGTGTGTAATAAGCCACCAGGCGGAAGGAAGGAATGAAGTCCGTAGTGATGGTCAGAGGCATGACGACCAGGTCCTGGCCAGGTTCCCGCTTCTGGCGGCCCACCTTCAAAATCTTCCCTTTGTTCATGATCTGGGGGGAACAAGTTGGTATAAGGATCAGCAAGGTGGGAGGGAGTGGGGCGACCTGGGCTTGGGAGTGCTGGAGAAGCAGCTTGTGGGGGGGGGGGTGGTGCCTGGGATCTTAGGAAGCCACAGACCAAGTAGGTGTAGTAGGTGATGGTCCGCTCCTGGTTGGGGTCTGCTCGCAGGTGGAAATTGACATTGAGGGTTTCCCCTGGCTTGAGCTCCAAGCGAGGCACGGAGAGATGCAGGTAGTTTTTGACGTCGCCCATGGCGGTGTAGGGTTGGGCCTCCATATTCCTGGTGGCCTGTCGAGACTGTGGGATACCATCCTTCTTCGTGCTTACCTGCGCAAGGAAAGAGGGATGAATGCTGGCCCCCCAAAGATGTCCTTGTCCTAATTCCTGGGACCTGTGAATATGGTATCTTCTGTGGCAAGAGGGACTTTGCAAATGGAATTAAATTAAGGATCAGAGGATGGGAGATTGTTTTGGATTATCTAGGTGGGTTGAATATAATCACAATGATCCTTCTAAGATAGCTAAGCAGCCAGAAGGACCCCTAGTGCAGACGAGAACTCCTCTCTGCAAATGAAAACATCTCTGTGTGAATGAAAATATCTCTATATGAGTGACATGATCCCTTTATGCAAATAAAAGGGCCCCACTCTGCAGGTGGCAGGATGGCTGCAGGCAGCGGGCAGGGTCCCTCTGTGTAAATACAGTTCCCTGGCTCTCTGGAATGGGGCCCCAGGTGGGTGAGGACTCACGGTGATGAGCAGCGGCTGCGGGTGCTTGGGTGTGTTCATGGTCAGCTTGGCCACACCATCTTCCTGGGTTAAGGCTTGTGCTTTGGTGCCTGTGATCTCCACGGGGATGTGGCGGGCTGGGGAGCCGTCAGGGTTTGTCACGAACACCTGTGGGTGCAGGGGCAGGTGGAGGGGGTGTAGATGGACCCAGAGACGTAGCCAGTGCTCCAGAGCAAGATGGGGGATTGCAGGACCACCCTGGGTCTCACCATGAGGTCAAAGGGCATGGCTGGTTTGAAGTACTTGGGTGTCTTGGTGAAGTGGATCTGGTAGGGGGAGGTCACGATGGGGATCCCGCTGTACTCCGCCTCCACCATGTCACTGCCTGAGGGGGCCAGCCATGAGGGCATGTTCCTGGGCCACCCCTCCAGACTGGACCCCACCTTCATACCAGGTCTCCCACCGCCCGGACTGGGCCTCCTCTGTCCGACTGGATCCCACCTTCATTCTGGGTCTCCCTCCTCAGCCTGGGCCTCCTCTGTCAGACTGGATCCCACCTTCATACTGGGCCTCCCCCCCCACCCCGACTGGGCCTCCTCTGTCAGACTGGATCCCACCTTCATTCTGGGCCTCCCCGCTGAGACTGGGCCTCCCTTGTCAAGCTGGATATCACTTTCATCTGGATCTCCTCTCTTAGACTTGGCCTCTCCTCTCCCTTGTCAGACTGGATTCCACCCTCATTCTGGGCCTCTGCCCTCAGACTGGGCCTCCCCCCTCAGTTGGGCCTCTGCACTCAGACCAGGCCTCACCTGAGTGCAAGACAACGGTGACTGACACGTACAAGGACTTCCCCACCAAGTCATTTGCTTGGGAGGGGTTCACCCCGTCCAGCAGGACCTTTCGGCTCAGCTTGGCCTCCCCAGTGCCATCTTCTATCTGGGAAGAGGAAAGGAGACTCAGAAAGGGGGAGGGGTGAGGGGTGAGGGTGGGGGAGGGCGGAAGTTCAGAGTGGAGGAGGCTCAGAGGGGCAGAGCACCGTAACACGGGTGAGGGACTGGGCCAGCGAAATCCTGTGGTCACCATCCTGGATCCCAAAGATGACGAAGGCTGTTCCATCCACATTCTTCCCATACAAGAACCTGAGAGGCAAGAGAGTCTCAGGTGCTCCTCTCCTGAAAGGCACGCCTCCCTCCAAACATCCACTCACTCCTCCCGCAGAGCCCCTGGTCCCTCACTTGGTTCTCACCTGGTTCTTACCTGGTCCGTATCTGGTCCCTCACCCAGCCCCTCACCTGGCCCTCACCGGGCTCCACCCCTGGCTGCTCACCTGATCCTCATCTGGCCCTCACCTGCCCCCTCACCTGCCTTCCTCACCTATCCTACCACCTGGCCCCATTCCCAGCCCCTCACCTGGCTGTGATGGTGACCTCCAGGCCCTCTGGGTCATCGATATAGTAGAATTTCTCTTCAGGCTCCAGCTGGACCTCAAAACTGGGCAGCACTGGGGGAAGAGACACACCAGTAGGGCACAGCACTGGGGCCTGGCGCCACGGGGGCCCCCACCCGGACTCCCTCCTCTTACCATATTCCTTCACCTCGAACTCAGCGGAGAAGACCTGCTGCGGGGCATCTTCGTAGTGGACCTCGATTTTCCACTGCCCCATGCTGTGGGGGAAGGCAGGCGAGTGAGCCCCACGTGCCCCCACGCCCTCCCCTGGGATAGGGAACCCCCTCCAGGAGGGCCTGACATACTTGACCAGCTCCGGGATGTTCCAAGACTGGGACAAGATGCCAACCTGGTTTTGAGAAGACAGGGAGTCCTGCTTGATGGGAACACCGTCGGGGGTCTGTGGAGACAGGGAGGGTGTGTCTCTTTAGAGATCAGGCTTAACCCCTAGGTTCTCCTCTCCCTCTCTGTGTCTGGCCACTCTGTGTGTCACGACTACTGGTTTTGAACGTGGACTTGGGTCAGTTGGCCTGGATTCAAATCTCCGCTTTGCCATTTATGAGCTGTGTGACCTTGGGCAAGTTCCTTAACCTCTCTGTGCTCAGTGTGCCCATCTAGAAAAAGGGATAAATAGAACCCCTACTTCATTGGCTTGGGACCTGGTTAATGTAAGCCGGAGGTCACTGTCATCAGTGTCTGTCTGAATACTAACAATAACTAGCATTTACCACCTACTTTGGGCAGGACTCTGTGGTAAGCATTTTGTGGGTGCTGAGCCACAAAGGATTGCCTATGTTCGACTCTTTGACCTACAAGGATAGCAATTACATGTGGTTCGACCAAATCCACATTATTTCATTTGTTGCCAATAATGAAACGTCAGGAGACATCATGTAAACATCTGGCTTTCTGGCTCCTCTTGGAGATTGGGATAATTGTGGATAACGGATTCCTGTTGGTACGAGGCGACATTCGACTGGAACTGGGCCAAGGTTGTGCCATTAGACGTGTGTGTTGGCCGGTCCCCACAAATTCCACTGACCCCCAAAATCAGCTCACGGCTGTCAGAACCTGGTCCCTGTTACCTTTGCATGATTTCAAGAAATGCTCATGATGATTCTCTGAGAAAGACCCACCTCTTCCCTCCCTCCTTCACTTCCTCCTTCCATTTTCCCTCCCCCCTTCCTCCCTTCTCCCTATATGCCAAGCACTTTCTGGGTTCAGGAGATAAGGCCCTGAGCGAACAGATAAAAATCCCTTCCCAGGGGCACCTGGGTGGCTCAGTTGGTTAAGCGACTGCCTTCGGCTCAGGTCATGATCCTGGAGTCCCGGGATCGAGTCCCGCATCGGGCTCCCTGCTCG